TGTGTGTGTGTGTGGTTACTGTGTGTGTGTGCGCGTGTGTGGTTCATATGTGTGTCTGTGTGTGGTTCATGTGTGTCTGTGTGGTTACTGTGTGTGTGTGCGCGTGTGTGGTTCATGTGTGTGTGTGTGTGTGTGGTTCATGTGTGTGCGCGTGTGTGGTTCATGTGTGTCTGTGTGGTTACTGTGTGTGTGTGCGCGTGTGTGGTTCATGTGTGTGGTTACTGTGTGTGTGTGTGTGTGGTTCATGCGTGTGTCTGTGTGTGGTTCATGTGTGTGTGTGGTTCATGTGTGTGCGCGTGTGTGGTTACTGTGTGTGTGTGTGTGTGCGCGTGTGTGGTTCATGTGTGTGTGTGTGTGTGGTTCATGCGTGTGTCTGTGTGTGGTTCATGTGTGTGTGTGGTTCATGTGTGTGTCCGTGTGTGGTTCATGTGTGTGTGGTTCATGCGTGTGTCTGTGTGTGGTTCATGTGTGTGTGTGGTTCATGTGTGTGTCCGTGTGTGGTTCATGTGTGTGTGTGTGTGGTTCATGCGTGTGTCCGTGTGTGGTTCATGTGTGTGTGTGTGTGTGGTTCATGTGTGTGTGCCCGTGTGGTTCATGTGTGTGGTTCATGTGTGTGTGTGTATTATTTGCTTCATTGTGGCCCTTCACTGGAAGCTCCGGCACAAATGTAAAAGTGTTTCTGGTTTGGAAAGAGAAGCGTGTTTACTGTAAATCCATTTGAGGATCAGTGTTTAATGTGCAGGACATCTCTGACGTAAAACTGTTGCTTTTCACAACAGCGAAGCCCCACAATACTCTAATCCAACAGTACGTGGAAAAATATGAAGGGAAATTATCAAAAATACACAGATTATCTCAGATGCAAAGATTCACATTTTGTATTTTCATGTTAAATTGTTAAAAATCAGTTATTCCAATGTGGTTTTACTGCTAACGGTGAATAAACTAATCATTTCTTTAATCAAAAATCAAAGGATAAACAAGTATGACGGGTCGAGAAAAGATCTGGTCAGTGAAACACCCCCATCCAGTGGTACAAGTGGGAAATTACACTCTAATATCTACATAATGAAATCCAACACCGTGCGACGTCAATGAAGGCACATTTTACTAAAACTACATTTATTTGGACAGAAACTGCTTGTTAAAGGTCTACAGGAGGATTTCCCCAAATTTTAAGAAAGAACCGCCCTCTCCACTTTTTCAACAAAATTCTCGGGTCTTATTTAAAGCACGTATCACCAGAATGATTGACAGCTATGAGGACCAATAGACTTGATGATCCACCGTAGAAAATCCTCCTATATACCTTTAAGATGGGTTTATAGTGGGGCAATTGTGTTCAAACTAAATTCTCGCAGTATTTGTGAGTTCACAGACACACTAGAATACATCTTCCACTGCTCCTGCCTACACTTTTTGAGTAGAACATCCAGGTGTTCTACTCAATGATGGGCCAGTCTTGAAGTTTTGGGCGGGATATCCAGGTTTGATGAAAGCAAGCAGTGCCGAGCCGAGGCAAAACAAACATGGCCTGCTTTCAAAAATTACCTTGTGTTGGTGAGGTTGCCTTTACTCTGAAAATTCGAGCTACAAAAAAGTTAATTTGTTCCCGTGATTGGCTTGAGTCAACCGTGGTGGGCGGGCAAACAGCTTGAAATATTCTGCTGCCTGCCCTTCCTTTACCGAATTCTCCTGAAGACCTTAGTTTTTAATTTTCATCCATTTCAATTCAATGCATTTTTTGTGTAGACGTAAACCACAACAGCAGTTATCTCCGAGGACTTTATAAATCGGTCACTTCACCAAAACAGATCAGAGAATCAAACAGTTCAAACACAAGAAATGAAATGAGAGGTTTTTTGACTATTTCAGTTATTCTTGTTCATTTATATCTCAAGAAATGGCCTTTGCTTAAGACTTTCTTGTGCAGATATTTTTTCTCCCTAATCTCAAACTTGCTGCAACGATATATGTCTGACGAGTGATTTATCGTCATTGTTTTCACGTTCTAAACTCCATTAGTTAGACGCTGATGGATAATTACAGTCAATATGGAGACACACACACACACACACACACACACACACACACACACACATTGATAACAGCACATTCCCCTGCCTCTCAACTTCATCTCTGCAATGATAGGGCTTTTTAATGGCCCTTGTTCAACTGAGCGTGTCCCTGTGGGTAGACCTGGCTTCTCCCCCCGCAGGAGAGGCCTGAGGTGGGAAGGCGGGCGACAGAGGAGGCGATAATGAGGAGGAGCTGAAGGGGAAGTGCTGAGGGCAGAGGTGGTCGTTCTCGCTTAGCGTAATGAGCCAACGCTTTCACGACGGCAAGAGACAAGGCAGAATGTCACACGATGGAGCCGCCATAGGAGAAATTCTACAGTTTCTACAACAAATTCTACAACAGTGGTTATCTCGGAGGACTTTATAAAACAGTCAAATTTACCAACACAGGTCAGAGAATCAAACAGTTCAAACTCAAGATGAAAAATACATAGAGGCATTGGTTCATCAGGGGCATTTACCATCCATTCGTCAATTCTCTTCCCTTTAATCCATTTCTGGGTTGGGGGGGGTGGCTCAATTCACAGAGCCCCAGCCCCTCACTGATCACTACTGATGCTCCTGCAGGTGTCCATAAGAGCATTGATCTTTCAGTGGGGGTTTCAGGCAAAGTGACAGCAGACATCAGTGGGAGTTTTGAAGTGGGTCTTGTTGGTTGAAGGTTGTGGCTCGAACCCACAACCTTCAGGCTCAAAGGCCAATGTTCAACCAACTGAGCCACTGTCATCCCCCCAACTTCGACCAATGTCCATAAATGTTGTTGAATGTGGAGTGTACTTGAACACCCCCACTGTCCTTACCCTCCTGAATCTGCAAGGAACAACTCTAAAACCCAGTGGGATAAAAAGGACAACTTAATACAACTTAATGTCCCTATTTAATGTTAATTTTAATAACTGTATTAATAAATGTTAGTTTGTCACCTAGGACCTCTGTTACAGTCTACGGCTGTGAACTAAAAGCGCTAACCACTGCGCCACCGTTCCTCACAAACTATTATTTTGAATGTGAATGTCTGTAATTTACAGTCTGATGCATTTTAAACGTGTGTGCCTCCAAAAAATTGCGATGAATGATTACTACATGAATTAAAATAAAAATCATCGTTTTTGTTTTTTTCGTTTCCGACAAAAAACATTTAAAATCCTTTATTAGTTCTTTCCGAACATAAAACGGGATTAAAACTGTATTTATAAAAGGTACAATTCCTGCATAAGACACAATAAAACTATAATAAACAATAATACGGAGCAGCTGTTACTTCCTGCTGCATGCGACTTGTACGCTATGATTGGTCAGCGTGGAGGCTATGGGCGGGTACTTGATCGCTCATTGGCTGCATGTTTAAATCGCCTCGCTGTGATTGGCTGAAGGCGCGTGTGCTCAGTTTGAATCGGCACGTTTCGCGTTGTTTCGCTGCTGTGTTCTGCAGAGGACTTTTAACGATTTAAAGTCGTCTTATTCAAGGTAAGACTCCGCGTTCTGACGAGAAATGTCCGCTGCACAAACGCAGGAAGACTGAACATTTTAAGAACATTTGCGTGTTGTGTGAAATGGCTGTTTTTAAGATGTCTTTACGAATGCATCCTACTGTAGCGGGTTAATGCAGTATACAGAGTGTGCTGAACAGCTAACGTTATGTTATGGACCAATGGCTCTGTGTGTTTTTAATCATAGCATTTCCTGAGTTTGATTCTCTGATCTGTGTTGGTGAATCGACAAGAGATCCTTTATTCGTTCCACAGTGGGGAAAAGTTAGTGTTAGAGAAGAGTAGTTATGAGGAGCACACAGCACAAGATAAATGAACAATATGGTAAGCTTATTTGTATAGCACATGTCATACACAAGGCAACTCAGTGTTCAACAAAATCTCAAATAATCACAATGCATTAAAAAGAGTGAAGACACAATCAGTTTTTAACCTGGATTTGAACATTGTCAAAGAAGCCTGTCTCAGACTCTATACGAAGACAACAAAGAAGTCTGTAAATTTATAATAGTAAAGAAACAAATATAATACACTGAAATATGCAGTATAAGACATAAATAGTTGTATGTAAACATCTGTACATGTTAGCAGCTAAAGTGACAGTGGACATATGTGGTTCTGTATTGCACATTCTGACATTGAAATTATTGCACAGATGCACGACATGCAAGGTTCGGTCAGCAGTGTATTGTTCGTTGTACAGTCTGACAGCAGCAGAGATGGAGATGACTACTGTTGTGATTTAGAGCTATAATGTGTTGTGGTCCTTGACAACTCACCTGTCACTTTATCTACTTTTCATTATTCCCTGCACAGCTTTTCTAAAATCTATCAAAGCCGGTGTCTAACTCTTTTTGTTTCAGAAATGAAACCTTGTGTTGCTCAACAGAAAAACAGACTTGCAAACAAAAACATGTGAATTATCAGACCATGAAAGAACCTCATTGCAATAGAAAAGGTGTTATATTGTGCAGACTCTGTTATTGTCGGAGAGAGACTTGGAGATCACGAGATAACGGCGCTTTGGGCAGAGTGAGAGTGGGTTTCTGTCTGAAAAGTGGAAAAGCACTTTATATTTAATCTCATCTTGTTTTTAAGGTCTTCTTAATGTTTTTCCGACTGTTCTTCATTTGTCAATCTGTGTTTTTGTGCTGAAGCCGCCGTGCAGTAAATCTATTGTACATTTAAACTCAAGGTGGGATGAGTTTTGTGCTAAACAGTGGACTTTCTAATGTAAAAATCTGTTTTCTTTTATACATTTCACTGCATTTAAGCCAAAAAGCATGTTTTAGCCTTTTTATATGACAACTATTTCTGTCTTTTGTAAAGAGGCTGTGAATATTAAACAAAGCAAAAACATAGACATTTTCTGCATATTTTCAGCGTTACATTCTCCACATTCTGTCGCTGTCTTTCAGAAGCTGCAGTCACGATGTCAGAGGATGGAGTCCAGGTCGAATGCAGCATCACAGTGGAGCAGCTGGACTCTGCAGGACAGACCAGTCGCAGACAGGTGACTGATGGGGACTGATGGGGACTGATGGTGACTGATGGTGACTGATGGGGACTGATGGGGACTGATGGTGACTGATGGTGACTGATGGTGACTGATGGTGACTGATGGTGACTGATGGTGACTGATGGTGACTGATGGGGACTGATGGGGACTGATGGGGACTGATGGTGACTGATGACTGATGGTGACTGATGGTGACTGATGGTGACTGGGACTGACGGGGACTGATGGTGCCTGATGGGGACTGATGGTGCCTGATGGTGCCTGATGGGGACTGATGGGGACTGATGGGGACTGACGGGGACTGGCGGGGACTGATGGTGACTGACTCATGGTGACTGACTGACTGATGGTGACTGACTGGGACTGATGGGGACTGATGGTGCCTGATGGTGCCTGATGGGGACTGATGGTGACTGATGGGGACTGATGGGGACTGATGGTGACGGGGACTGACGGGGACTGATGGTGCCTGATGGTGCCTGATGGTGACTGATGGTGCCTGATGGTGACTGATGGGGACTGATGGGGACTGATGGTGACGGGGACTGACGGGGACTGATGGTGACTGATGGGGACTGATGGGGACTGACGGTGACTGATGGTGACTGACTCATGGTGACTGACTGACTCATGCTGACTGACTGACTGATGGTGACTGACTGGGACTGATGGTGCCTGATGGGGACTGGTGGTAACTGATGGTGACTGATGGTGACTGATGGTGACTGACTGGGACTGATGGGGACTGATGGTGCCTGATGGTGCCTGATGGGGACTGATGGTGACTGATGGGGACTGATGGGGACTGATGGTGACGGGGACTGACGGGGACTGATGGTGCCTGATGGTGCCTGATGGTGACTGATGGTGCCTGATGGTGACTGATGGGGACTGATGGTGACGGGGACTGATGGTGACTGATGGGGACTGATGGGGACTGACGGTGACTGATGGTGACTGACTCATGGTGACTGACTGACTCATGCTGACTGACTGACTGATGGTGACTGACTGGGACTGATGGTGCCTGATGGGGACTGGTGGTAACTGATGGTGACTGATGGTGCCTGATGGTGACTGATGGGGACTGATGGGGACTGGTGGTAACTGATGGTGCCTGATGGGGACTGATGGTGCCTGATGGTGCCTGATGGTGCCTGATGGGGACTGATGGTGCCTGATGGTGACTGATGGGGACTGATGGTGCCTGATGGGGACTGATGGTGACTGATGGTGCCTGATGGGGACTGATGGTGACTGATGGTGCCTGATGGGGACTGATGGTGACTGATGGTGCCTGATGGTGACTGATGGTGACTGATGGTGCCTGATGGGGACTGATGGTGACTGATGGTAACTGATGGTGCCTGATGGTGCCTGATGGTGACTGATGGTGACTGATGGTGCCTGATGGGGACTGATGGTGCCTGATGGTGCCTGATGGGGACTGATGGGGACTGATGGGGACTGATGGTGACTGACGGTGACTGATGGTGACTGACGGTGACTGATGGGGACTGACGGTGACTGACGGTGACTGACGGGGACTGATGGGGACTGATGGTGACTGGTGGTGACTGGTGGGGATTGATGGTGCCTGATGGGGACTGACGGTGACTGATGGGGACTGACGGTGACTGACGGGGACTGACTCATGGTGACTGACTGACTGGTGGTGACTGGTGGTGACTGACGGTGCCTGACGGTGCCTGACGGTGACTGACGTCTGTTCTGTGGAAAGACCATCACCCAGGATCATTATTTTTCTAAGACACTATGGGTTAGGGCAGGGGTCTCCAACCTGTAGCTCTCCACTCGGCTCCAGGTAGCTCACCAAAGGATTTAGAAATGAACAAATCAAATCGTACACTTCATATTTCAGATTGTATTATTCATTATTATTTATTATTGTAAATGCACTTTGTCACTAGTAACAAATATATGATGAGGAGTAGCGTCGGTATATCAGGCTTTTTCAGACCAATATATCACCATATATTTCCCATAGGGCGGCTTAAAGGAGTAGTCTTTTGTTTAAAGTTAAGTTTTTTATTAAAAGGACTATGTGTTTAAAAAGGTTTAAACCCTAAAAAGCTGGAGTTGAACGGTTAAAATTGTTGCGTTTAAAGAATGATTCTAAAATTCCATAAGTTACTGTTAATGTCACAATGATTAAAACCTGTAAAAGACAACTGTAAAATATCTAAGTTTAAAAACGGGTAGAGCAGCTTTAATATCAGAGACACTCCCATTATATTTTGTTAAATGGATTTAATGGGTCTCCCTGGTCTTCAGGGTCAGAGCTTTCACATCTAGCTCACTCTGGCTGTTTTTAAATGAGCTCTACAGGTGCTACATAAATAAATAAAGACTTGCCTACACCTTGAATGATCCATTAATTAATTCATTATTTATCTTATCTTAACCGATGTGACGGTATAAAAGCGTTGACCGCCGGCCTCTCCCCTGCAGGTCCTGAGAAAGGCCTCCATCCTTCTCGGCCGCAACGAGTTCCAGGACCTGATCCTGCGGCTCCACGACGGTAAAGTCTCCCAGAGCTTTGCGGCGCAGGACTTCAAACTGTTCACCAAGTTTGTGCGAGAGGGAAAGTGCACCATCCGCCTCCTGCCCTCCAACACCCAGATCCTGCTCTCCAACTGCCCCCCCGCCCAGCTCGGCGCCTTCCTCAAGACCCTCACCATCAAGCACCAGGCGTCCCGCTGCGACCGGGCCCTGAGCCAGAGGGAGAGGCTGAAGGCCGGGCTGCCGCGGAGCTTCGAGGCCATCAGTCCCCTGCAGCACAAGGACATCCAGAAGGTGAACGAGCAGCGGGCCCAGGCCAGCGCCGCCGGGAAGCTCGCGGACCGGACCAACACCGCGGCAGGGAGGGGGGCGCAGGTCAAGAGGTCCCGGGACAACTGCGGCTTCAGCCCTGTGAGTACTCTGTGTTGTTTTTAAGAGGTGTAATGTTGTATGTAGCACAGAGAGAGGTCCTCAAAGTACACAGTGCTGCAGGTTTTAGCTCCAACACTGTGTACTTGTGTGTACTTGTGTGTACTTGTGTGTACTTTTAAGATTGTTATTAATGCATGCCATACTAGGGTTGGGCATAATATATCGTAGACAATAATATCGTGAGTCAATTTGAAGATATGCTTTTTTGTAATTTCTTTTTACATACATATTATCACTACTTTATTTGTACATTTCAGTAAATATTGAGCCTTTTTGAATGTGTTCTTTCTGTGTTACTTGAATTAGATTTTGAATAATATATGTTTGTGCATGTTTTGCAAAGAAGTGTGAAGCTTCTATTTAAATCTACACTGTCTCTTATCTACAGATGCCCTGGCAGCCAAACATTACAGATAATTTTGTGTAAAAATGATTGCTTTTAAAGATATCGTGACAATATCGTTATCGGGAGTTGGGGAAAAAAATATCAAGATTTATTTTTGTCCATATCGCCCACCCCTATGCCAAAGCTATATTCACTTTGGCAACTTGTTTTCACTTGTTCCTAGTTTGTGACTTTCCGTTGCTTTTGCACAATCCGAGTGTCACTATCCAAGCCAAATGTGACATGTACATTTCTCCTATGTGAGATAGGCAAGGCAAGGCAAGTTTATTTATATAGCACAATTCATACACAAGGCAATTCAAAGTGCTGAACAAAACAAGAAAGCATTAAAATCATAAATAATCACAGAACATTAAAAAGAAAGATAAAAATATAAAATCCCTCAGTTGTATGCACAGCTAAACAGAACTGTCTTTAACCTGGTTTTAAACATTGTCAGAGAGGAGGCCTGTCTCACATCTTCAGGAAGACTGTTCCAGATTTTAGCAGCATGAATCTGAAAAGCAGCCTCCCCATGTTTAGTTCTGACTCTGGACACTAACAGGATAAACAAGATAAATAAAGCTTATCTTATGACGGTAATAAAAATAATTCTGATTCAGACTCTAACCATTTCCTCAGAGTCCAGTTTGAACCTGCACCACAGTTTTAGGGGCTGTTTCTGTATTCACCCATCACTTTTCTTCTGCTTGATCTGGGGCCGGGTTGTAGAGGCAGCATGCATCTGCAATCTTGTGCGTTCAGTCTGTGCGGTTCAATCATTTACATGCTCTCATACAAATCTAACACAAATCCAAACATTGCTCCAGTCAAAGTCCCAGTGTGACCTAAAGTGTGTTCCGTTCCTTATGGACTTTCAGAAAATGAAAAGCACAGCCCAATTTTCCTCGAGGGAGAAATAATTTGCATAAGATAGCATCTCAAGTTCCTCAAGTGTAAATAATTTATTGGGAGGTTTCTGCCCCAATGCCTTCTTCAGAGATGTGTCTGACTAAAACTAACCCAGAGCCAAATGGAAACGTGAATAATAAACCTGAGAGTGGAGTTTGGAAGCCGTTCCTGACTGTTCTAGATGCGACGCAATCAAACGGCATTAACTGTTCTCTGCTTGCTTTGTTCTTACATTTTTGATGAGCAGCAGATGTGGAAGTTTTATTGACTTAATTATAAACTTTGTAGATGGTGCTTTTTGCTGTGAAGTGGTAACTGGGTCTAAAACTCACTGTTGCGTTACGTTTAGACGCGTCCCTTAGCAGCGTCCAGACTCTGCTTGAAGCTGCTGCTCCTGCTCCCACTGTCTCTGTCCACTCTTTAAAGCTCTAGTCCAGGGATGTCGAACTCAGGCTCCTGGGCAGTTTTTAGTGGCCCCAAGAAAATCATTTTGTATTATTATACCCACAAGCTCCAGGCCCAAAGGCTCTACCAACTGAGCTACTGTCACCCCAATAATTATTTTGTGTCGTATTATTATAAGAAGGTCCTTTAATAGTCCCACAATGGGGAGATTTCAGCTTGATGCCTACACACACATCAAGGCAAGCGGCAAACATCACTTAACCCACTTTGCCTAAGTGTCTTGCTCAAGGACACAACGACAGCAGACATCAGTGAGAGTCTGTGGAAAAGGTCTCGTGGTGGATTCGAACCCACAACCTTCGGGCTCAAAGGCATTTCCTGACTGTGTTAAAGAGGCGACCAAGGCAGTCATTACATTATCTATTTTCTCAACAACAACAAAGTTTAATGTATAATACAATTTTAACCCAACAGATCAAGACGTTAAAAACTTAAATATAAAATAATGTGTATTTATATCTGGTCCAGTTTTGGTTCAATCGCACACATTTTGTTTTCAGAAAAATCAAGCAGAAAATTATGGAAGCCCGTTTCCGCCATGTAAAAAAAAAAAGCCTACAGAAAGTCAAAATTTTGACTTTAAAAGTCAAAATTATGTGTTGTTGTCTGGAACGGTCTCTGGTCATCCCTGTTATAGATCCATGACCATAGGTCATCCTCTACCTGCAGATTATGTGAAGATTTTCCCTACAGACAGTGACCACATCCATGAAGTAGCAGCAATAATGTTGTAGTGTGTAGTGATAGTAATCGCGTTAAAATGCAAACGGTCTCTCCGTTTATGATTAGAATCCGCTTCAGAAGCCTCTATTTAATTTATCCCAAACGGACTGTGGAAGATTAATAATAAAACACATGCGGCTGTTCAAAGTCATTGAGCATCAACTGGTGACATCTGGTCAGTATCACGGCTATCGATGGATGCACCAGAAATGCACTGAATGATATTGTGACTGACGGAGACCGTTCGCGATTACTGAACAGTGAGGGAGGTCCGCAGACAGAGGCAGGAGAACCACAGACAGAGGCAGGAGAACCACAGACAGAGGCAGGAGAACCACAGACAGAGGCAGGAGAACCACAGACGGAGGCAGGAGAACCAGACACGGACAATATTACCCTTTTGGAATTGCGATCAGTGCATTGAAGAGTATGTGACGTGTTTGCGTGCATGCGGGGGTGAGCTGATGGAGCGAGCGTGCGGGTAAAGTTGTTGGCGTATGAGCAAGAACACAGAGACATATAGGGAATAAGTGCCTTGTCTGATTATTTTATTGTGACAAAATAAAGCCCACGACTCTTTAAGCAACAATCCGGAGAAATAACTCTTTGAAAAGGGATTCAAACCCATTATAGATGCATGAATAAAACCCTGTACTCAACACGTAGAAAGCGCATCCTTTCAGCCGTGGAAAGACTCGCTCCGTGTGGACCCTGTAACATCCAGACGCTAGAGGCGCTGTGTTCTACAATGTTGTACATCTGTATCGCGAGACCAGGTTCGAGAGTTTTATGTTGGCTGATAAAAGATACTTGATGTACTCTACATGGTGGTGATTATTCTAACACAATAACATCCCAGCCATAGCCATAGGGCAAACATAACATGGTGTCAGAGTAGAGGCAATCGCACTCACAAGAACAAGACCCAAGATGGAGACACACGGCATCCTAGCGCCACGGATGGACTGGGATTCAGCCAACTTACCGGAGGCATGGCGGCGATTTAAGCAACAGGCAGTGTTGATGCTTTCAGGTCCGCTCTGGAAGAAGAGGTACAGTGCAGTTACCTGTTACTGTGGGTCGGCGACAAGGGACGTGATGTGTACAACACGTGGACACTCACGGTCGACGAAGCGAAAGTACTACAGACATACTACGATAAGAATGCGGCATACATATCACCCAAGTCCAACCCGATCTACGCCAGATATCGTTTCCATGAAAAGGTACAAGTCAGCGGCGAGTCATTTGAGCACTTCATTACTGATTTAAAACTCATCGTTAAAGACTGCGGCTACGTAAACAGTGACGAGATGGTCCGGGACCGCATTGTTTTTGCCACAAACTCCCCACGTGTGCGTGAGAAATTGTTGAGCCAAGGAGCTGACCTCACACTGGACAAAGCAATAGACATTGCGCGCACTCACGAGCTGGCACAAACACAATTGAAAGAGATGACCGGAGCCAAGGACATGGCTAAAGTGGATATACATGCAGTCAAACAGCGACGTCCGCAAAAATACACCACAGCCAAAGAGCAAAAAGGAGCAAGAGAATGCGACCGCTGCACAGGCACACACAACCCGAGAGATACGTGCCCTGCCAAAGGTAAACAATGCATGAAATGCAAAAGATACAACCACTTTGCAAAAGCATGCAGATCCAAAGTTGCATATTCAGAAAAGCCACAAAGAAGACCTGTACATGCACTTGAGCAAAACAATGTCGAAGACTGTGAGCTGTTCATCGACAGTATCACAACTGTAAATGCAGACAAAAACAATGTACAAGCATACGCAGACATAAATGTTGGACCAAGTCAAGAAGCAGTGAAATTTAAAATAGACACAGGTGCAGAGATTAATGCCATTCCAGACAGTATTTACAAGGCATTATTCAAGTGTGAACCTCTGGCACCGCCTTTACAATCAATCACTGCATATGGAGGGCAAACATTAAAGGTACGTGGCATCTGCAGTTTGAAATGTGAACACAAGGACCAAAAGGCACAACTTGATTTTCACATCATCAACGCCAAAGGACCACCCATCCTAGGACTGAGCGCAAGCCTAGAACTGAACCTAATAAGACTGGTAATGGGGGTGAGTCAAACAAAAACACACAACGACCCCAAAACAATGTTAAAAGAGTTTTCAGATGTTTTCCAGGGCATTGGAGAGTTTAAAGGAGAATGCACACTCCGCATTGATCCAGACGCAACACCAGTGGTTTACCCTCCACGCAGAGTCCCCATCGCACTAAAAGCACGGTTAAAAGAGGAGCTGGACAAGATGGAGGACGACAAAGTTATCACAAAGGTAACAGAACCAACGGAGTGGGTAAATGCTCTAGTTGTTGTCGAAAAAGCACAAAAACATAAACTACGAATATGTTTAGATCCAAGAGACCTTAACAAGGCTATTCAGAGACCACACTACCCTCTGCCTGCACTCGAAGACGTCACCACGAAACTCGCTGGTGCACAGTACTTTAGTGTACTGGACGCCAGATCAGGCTACTGGGCCATAAAACTAAGTGAAAAGTCATCGATGCTGACAACCTTTAATACACCATTTGGCAGATACAGATTCCTTAGGCTGCCTTTTGGAATCAGCTCAGCACAAGATGAGTTTCAGAGACGCGTAGATGAGACATATGAAGGGCTCAGAGGTGTTGCTGCAATAGTAGACGACATCCTGGTTTTTGGCAAGACCAAAGAGGAGCATGATGAAAACTTGAGAGCTATGTTACAACGCACAAGAGAAAGAGGACTCAAGTTGAATCCAGATAAGTGTAAAATTTGTGTCCAAGAAGTCAGTTATTTTGGACACAAGCTCTCAAACAAAGGCATCAGCCCAGACCCACAAAAAGTGAATGCCATACAAGACATGCAGCCACCGCAGTCCAAGTCTGAGCTAGAGACTGTATTGGGCATGATCAATTATTTGGCCAGATTCACACCACGCATCTCAGAAGTGAATGCACCACTAAGACAGTTACTAAAGCAAGACAGTGAGTTCATTTGGGATGCTGTGCATGACAAAGCGTTTGATCAAATCAAGGAGCTTATCACGAACCACCCGGTGTTAGCTTACTTTGACCCTCACAAAGAGCTCACTCTTCAAGTTGACGCCTCAAAGAACGGGTTAGGCGCGGTACTGCTCCAAAATGGCAGGCCGGTTGCCTACGCATCAAAATCACTGAACAGTACAGAACAAAACTACGCTCAAATCGAAAAGGAGTTGTACGCAGTGCTCTTTGGATGTAAACGTTTCCACGAGTACATGTACGGCAGAGAAGTGACTGTGGAATCTGACCACAAGCCCCTGGAGGCAATATTAAAGAAACCACTTTCTGCTGCGCCACCGTGTCTCCAAAGAATGATACTTCAACTCCAAAAGTACAACATCCACATCACGCATAAACCAGGAAAAGAAATACCGGTAGCTGACACGTTATCGAGAAAGTCGATTGAGTACAGTGATGACAGCTTGCGTGAAGGTATGGAGGCTCAAATACACACCCTCATCAACAACATGCCAGTAAACGATGCTAAATTACAAGCAATAAAAAACGCTACTGCACATGATTCCCAGCTCATGGTAGTGAAACAAGTCACAAAGTCGGGGTGGCCCCACAGGCGTAAACAATGCCCGCCACTCGCACAAGAATACTGGAATCACAGAGATGAGATAAGCGAAGTCGAGGGCATACTATTCAAGGGTGAGAAAATAATAATCCCTCTGACCCTTAGAAATGACATGCTTGACCGTATTCATGCTGGCCACATGGGTGTAGAAAATTGCAAAAACAGAGCACGCGATGTACTGTTTTGGCCAGGCATGGGTCAGCAAATAGAAGCCATGATTGGTCAGTGTAGTATATGCCAAGAGCGACGCAGTGCTGACACCAAAGAACCACTACTGTCACACGCTATTCCACAAAGGCCATGGCAGGTAGTAGGAACAGACTTATTCACATGGAATGGACAGGATTACATCACTACAGTGGATTACTACAGTCGTTTCTTTGAAATGGAAAAACTCACTAGTTGCACTGCATCGGCTGTAATCCTAAAACTAAAATCGGCGTTTGCACGTTATGGTATCCCAGAACGTGTCATCAGTGACAACGGCCCCTGCTACAGTGCTGCAGAGTTTGAGCGCTTTGCAGACGTTTGGGACTTTACACATGTCACCACCAGCCCACGGTACCCTCAAAGCAATGGTCTAGCTGAAAAAACTGTGCAAACCGCCAAACGGATCTTGGATAAAGCTCAAGCTGACAGAAAAGACCCATATATTGGACTGTTGGAGTACAGAAACACCCCTGTGGACAATCTCAAGTCCCCAGCACAACTCCTGATGAGTCGCAGGCTACGCTCAATTCTCCCTACAACACCAACACAACTAAAGCCAAAAGTTGCTCCTCTGCGCATCGTCAAGCAGCGCAGGGAAGCGTGCCAGCACCGTCAGCAGGAATACTACAACAGATCAGCTAAAGCGCTACCACCACTCCCAGCAGGTACACACATTCGTTTCCGCCAAGAAGATGGTTCCTGGCGACCTGCTACAGTGACACAGCAAGCTCACACCGACAGGAGCTACAACATTCAAACGGAGGAAGGACAGACTTTTCGGCGTAACAGGCGCCACCTTCGCGAATCCAAGGAAACTACAGGCACATCAGAAAACAACCAACCAGTGCCTCAACTCAGTGACACTCCTCACATGCCTGAGCCTGCTCCAGCTGCAACCCAACAGCCCCAAGAGCAGCCCGGCTACACCACAAGAGTAGGCCGTGTCACTAAACCCAGACAAATACTGGATTTGTAAATGCTAATATGAGAATTGTTCACATTGTGCATATAGGCATTTTTATATTGTTTATGCTGTTCATTTTAAAATTTGCTTTGCCTATTCAATTTAAGCAAATAATAATCAAAGTACAATTGCACTATTTCAGCTTATAAGCTAGGTCAAGAAATTGTATAACTTTTGTTTATATTAATGCATTTGTTTTGTTCCTTATCTAGACAGCAATGCATAGCAATATAGTGTTACTATATTATACTGTCATTCACCATTTTCGGTTACATTCCATCTAAGTCATGTTGTAGCTACATTTTGTTTGGAAGGGAGATGTAACATCCAGACGCTAGAGGCGCTGTGTTCTACAATGTTGTACATCTGTATCGCGAGACCAGGTTCGAGAGTTTTATGTTGGCTGATAAAAGATACTTGACGTACTCTACATGGTGGTGATTATTCTAACACAATAACATCCCAGCCATAGCCATAGGGCAAACATAACAGACCCCTCTCAGCGCCATCGTCTGGTCAGAGTGGGGTATAGCAGATTGGATTGGAATGTCTCGATGGCTCATTTTCCTTTGATTTATTATAAAAACATTTTGCTCACATTATTTGTTACTATGTCGAAATAAGAAGTTGTTTGATTTAAATGTTGTATATATGTAAATTGAATTTAACATAAATAAATAAAAAGACAGCTCCCCCTGCGTCCTACGACCGCGGTCTGGGGCTTAAACAGGAAAGTTTTACAGAATCAATCAAACAACATAATTTCTGGCTACTTCAAGGATGCAGTGGTCACTGTTGGCAATATCTTCACATAATCTGCAGGTGAAGGACGTCCAGAGACCGTTCCAGACAACAACACATACCGTGAGGTCCTGCACATGCGCAGTTGAAAACTCGTAATTTTGACTTTTAAACTCAACATTTTGACTTTCTGTATGATTTTGTTTTATTTATTTTTTTACATGGCGGAAACGGGCTTCCATAGAAAACTATAGCCTCATAATGTAGAAAAAACAAAATTATAAAAAAACAAAATCCCTTCTATTCTTTCGGCACCGACCAGTTCTCCTTTTTATTCTGGCCCGGACCAAAAAGAGTTGGTCACCCCTGGTCTGGTGCGACTGGTCTTCGTCAGAGAAACCCAAACCCACAGGACCCGGGACTATGCGTGATCCTTCAGACCAGACGCAGGCCGTGTCCAAATCACTGTCATTAAACTGAAACGCTGCCTCTGATTGGAAAAGCGGCTTCTCTCATGACGTTCTCGCCGACATCACAATTATCCCAGTCTGTCAGGGGCCATTTTTGTCATTTGGTAATTTATTTTCCAAATCTGTGCTGAACAAAAGACAAAAGCAATTAACGAATACTAAGAATAAACAGTGATCTTTTGAATGTCACTTTGTCTCACACCTCTTTCCTTCATGTACTTCTTTGAACGGAATTTTATAATTGAACATATTTTTAAAACTCCAAACGGTAGAACGTTCTTTAAAGTGAAAAAAAAGTCCTGCAGTTTCAGTTATTAAGATTAAGAGATCCAGAAAACAGTAGTAGGAGAAAGTGATCAATAACTCCATCCATTTTCTTCCCCTTAATCCATTTCTGGGTCTGAGTTAAGTGTCTTGCCCAAGGACACAACAACAGCAGACATCAGTGGGAGTCTGGAGAAGGTTTTGCGTTGGGCTCGAACCCACGACCTTCAGGCTCAAAGGCCAATGCTCTACCAACCGAGCCCTGAACAATAACTCTATACTTTAAAAATAGTCTCTAAAATTAGCATGTTAAAGAAGCTAGCTTAAAATACTGTATATATAATTGTTTTGATTCAAATGAACGGCGGGTTTGAGGCGTGTCTATTGTGGACATTAGATACAGTACGACGTGAGGAGGTTTTATGTGAGATTTTAATCCAGTTTCTCCACATTTCTATCCTCAGGGCAAATGACCCGCCACAGTGGTTCAAAGTAGAAGAAAAATACTTAAATTATGATAGGTTCTTAAAAGGTCTGAATGGCCCAGGGCTGATCAAGTTAGGGTAACTCATCAAAAATCAGCTTGAAAAATTAATATATTGAGGGTGTTTTTGAAAGTACCGTGGTGAGTCATGTGTTGTCGTAATAACATTTATACTGGTTGTGGTCCCAGGTGAAGGCCAACCCCACGAAGAAGCCGGTGCTCGCTCTGCCGTCCTGCAAACTGAACAAGGAACAGGCCGCGGTCCTCAGCGCCGTGCTCAGCGGCAAGAACGTCTTCTTCACCGGGAGCGCGGGTGAGGCTGAGGGGGTGGGGGGACATTGATTTTCTTTTCAAATTTTAGTTGGTGCGGCTTATGTGTGGACAACGTGGATTTTATTATCAAATTTGAGCTGGTGCAGCTTATATACAGGTGCAGCTTATGTGTGGACAACATGGATTTTATTATCAAATTTGAGCTGGTGCGGCTTATATACAGGTGCAGCTTATGTGTGGACAACGTGGATCTTATCAAATTTTAGTTGGTGCGGCTTATGTGTGGACAACGTGGATCTTATCAAATTTTAGTTGGTGCGGCTTATGTGTGGACAACATGGATTTTATTATCAAATTTGAGCTGGTGCGGTTTATATACAGGTGCGGCTTATGTGTGGACAACGTGGATTTTATTATAAAATTTGAGCTGGTGCGGCTTATGTGTGGACACCGTGGATTTTATAATAACATTTGAGCTGGTGCTGCTTATATACAGGTGCAGCTTATGTGTGGACAACATGGATTTTATTATCAAATTTGAGCTGGTGCGGTTTATATACAGGTGCGGCTTATGTGTGGACAACGTGGATTTTATTATCAAATTTGAGCTGGTGCGGCTTATATACAGGTGCAGCTTATGTGTGGACAACGTGGATCTTATCAAATTTTAGTTGGTGCGGCTTATGTGTGGACAACGTGGATCTTATCAAATTTTAGTTGGTGCGGCTTATGTGTGGACAACATGGATTTTATTATCAAATTTGAGCTGGTGCGGTTTATATACAGGTGCGGCTTATGTGTGGACAACGTGGATTTTATTATAAAATTTGAGCTGGTGCGGCTTATGTGTGGACACCGTGGATTTTATAATAACATTTGAGCTGGTGCTGCTTATATACAGGTGCAGCTTATGTGTGGACAACGTGGATTTTATTATCAAATTTGAGCTGGTGCGGTTTATATACAGGTGCGGCTTATGTGTGGACAACATGGATTTTATTATCAAATTTGAGCTGGTGCTGCTTATATACAGGTGCAGCTTATGTGTGGACAACGTGGATTTTATTTTCAAATTTTAGCTGGTGTGGCTTATACACAGGTGCGCCTTGTATAGTCCAGACAGTTTGATGTTTGTGTATGTATTTACAGTGTGACGCAGCCGTCTCAGTCTGTCCTGTCCCCCTCTCAGGTACAGGGAAGTCCTTCTTACTGAAGCGGATCATCGGCTCGCTGCCTCCCAAAAGCACGTTCTCCACGGCGAGCACCGGAGTCGCCGCCTGTCACATCGGAGGCACCACTCTCCACAGCTTCGCAGGTTCGTCTCATTCACGTTCATCTCTCGGATTTTCTACAGAAGATTTTATTTCACTTATTTCTATATCACGAAATGACAAAGGTGTGAGTCTTCTTAATGTTACGAACCAAAATGGGCGCATGATATTTCTTTAACAGATTCAGTGTCATTTGCAGTAAAACCACATTGGAATACTTGTGCAAATGTTCCCCAGTGTGCATCAGACAAGTACATATATAACAATATAACCAGCTCAAAAGTACATGAAACGATCGTCACTGTGAAACCCAAACACCAAGAACGGCGTCAATAACAAGTGCGAGATCATTAAAGTTTCTTGCTCAGACTGATGACAGCTGAAAGAAGCTGTTAGCATGTTAGCATGTCCTGCATCTCAGAGAACAATATCTTGTGCCAGAGGGAAGAAGCTGGAACATGGCTTTTCCATTCATAGCCTCCAGGACAGACAGCTCAGTCTTCTTCTTTCAGAGCGGAGCATCTCTCTCTGTCTCTGTCTCTCTCTGTCTCTCTCTGTCTCTCTCTGTCTCTCCCTGGTCTCTCTCCCTGGTCTCTCTCCCTGGTCTCTCTCCCTGGTCTCTCTCCCTGGTCTCTCTCCCTGGTCTCTCTCTCTGTCTCTCCCTGGTCTCTCTCCCTGGTCTCTCTCCCTGGTCTCTCTCCCTGGTCTCTCTCCCTGGTCTCTCTCCCTGGTCTCTCTCCCTGATCTCTCTCCCTGGTTTCTCTCCCTGGTCGCTCTCTCTCTTGTCTCTCTCTCTTCTCTTGTCTCTCTGGTCTTTCTCTCTTCTCTTGTCTCTCTGGTCTTTCTCTCTTCTCTTGTCTCTCTGGTCTCTCTCTCTTCTCTTGTCTCTCTGGTCTTTCTCTCTTCTCTTGTCTCTCTGGTCTCACTCTAGTCCCTTCCTCTCTCTCTGGTCTCTCAGAAAAAGTTCAGCAGAATCTTGAAGTTTGATTATAATCTCTAAGTTTTCATATAAAGAAGAGACGCTGTCGAGCTTTCTCAACCTGATCTATTGTGTGTTATCTTAACCTAACACATGTGGTGTGAATGCTCACATGACTCCTCTCCTTCCCCGTTGTCATTTCCGTGTGAATAACGCAGTTTGTTGCATATGCAGATGTCATTGTGAGGTTTGTTTCCAGGGATCGGCTCGGGCTCTGCTCCCCTGGATCAGTGCATCTCTCTGGCTCAGAGGCCCGGGGTCCTGCAGCACTGGACCAGCTGCAGACACCTCATCATCGACGAGGTCTCCATGGTCGAGGCGCACTACTTCGACAAACTAGAGTCTGTGGCCAGGTACCAGCGAGGTCCAATGTGTGGTTGGTCAGGCTTCTAAAGGGGTTAATTATTTTGACCTGGCAGATTATTAGCCCAGCCCGACTTGCTCATCAAAACACCGATACATCTAAACACAAATCTGTTAGTCTACTGCACAAAACGCTGTTGTATACTTTGTGTTAATGTGTCTAAGCAAAGCACTGTCTGATTCGTTTGGTTGATTACTTTGACCATTTTGCTTTCCTCGTGTCAAATTGACCCGTCGCAGTGATTTAGAAAACATCCTAAACTTGTTTTAAAGCTGAATGTTGTTGATATATCCTAACTTGACCAGCCCTGGGTCATTTAGAGCCTTTTAGACACTAATTTAAGTTATTCTTCTTTTACTTTTAATCACTGTGGCAGGTTTTTTGAGAATAGACCAGGGTTAAAAACAGGACCGTTTTAGTGAGTTTTAGTTTATTTCAAGAACTCAATGAAAAAGTGTACATAATGACAAAAAGTGGTCATGAGCACACTGATTGCAAACGCAGCCTCTTCCACAGACTGTATAGTTCCAAATCAGCTCCCGTTAGAAGCTACCAAACTCTTCCACGTGTTCCCTATTGAAATACAGTTAAAATAGGGATACGCTGCGTCTATTGACGGAACTGAGCGGGAGAGAAGTCTTTAGGAGTTAGTGTATTATTACGCCTCACAATGTAGTTCCCCTTTTTATCCGCTGAGAAAATCAACATGTTAAATTTCTGTGTTACTATACTTTGTAGAGTAACACGTTCACGTAACTGTATTTAAATAGGGAACACGTGGAAGAGTTTGGTAGCTTCTAACGGGAGCTGATTTGGTACTATACAGTCTGTGGAAGAGGCTGCGTTTGTGCTCAGTTTGCATGACAGAGCGCACGGAAAAAGACCAGACAGGTACATATCAACTAGTCTAAGGTAAGAACATGTCAGTATGTAAAAACGGTGGCCTATTCCTTTACTTAAAAAAACAAACAAACTGACCCCGTTTCCCACAGTGTGACCCAACAGCGCTAGGAATACTCACCTGTAATATGAACAAATGTGGACTAAAGTGTAAAGTCACTGAACGGAGCTAAAACCACAGACTACGATGGACTGTGTGTGGTGCAGGTCTGTGCGGAGATCCACGGAGCCGTTCGGAGGCATCCAGCTGATCGTGTGCGGAGACTTCCTGCAGCTGCCTCCGGTCTCTAAAGGAAAAGACAAGGCCCAGTTCTGCTTCCAGGTCTGTGGTGGTGACCTCACACACGGATCATTACGGAAGGATCATGTAGAGCATCCATCCATCCATCCATCCATTTTCTACCCTTTAATCCATTTCTGGGTCAGGGGGGTGGCAGTCAGAGATGCCACCCAAGTCTCATAGCACCAGCCCCTCACTGACCCTCTGCAGGTGGTGAGTCCACAGGAGCTGAGATCTTCCAGCGGGGGCTTTGGGCAAAGTGGGGTTAAGTGTCTTACCCAAGGACACAACAATAGCAGTTATCAGTGGGAGTCGGTGGAGAAGGTGTAGAGGTGGGAATTGAACCCACGACCTTCTGGCCTTAAGGCCAATGCTCTACCAACTGAGCTACTGTCACCCCCCATGCATGTAGAGCAGTGGTTCCCAAAGTGGGGGTCCCGACCCCCCGGGGGGTCGCGGGAACCCCTGGGGGGGTCGCAAGATGATTTCCACACAAACAAACAAAAAAGATTTTTTTTTTTGAGCAAATATAAAGTCCTTAAATATTTATTTAGCATTTGATTTGATTCAAAAGGACTACTTGTTAAATTGTGTTTGGAGACTATAATATATTTTAATAACGTTAGTAATTTTGTCCCAGTCATTGCAGCGTCAATCAAAATCATCACGTAACACAGCTCACATCATGCGCAGCGACAAAGCGTGTCCTGCTGTTGTTTGCTAAAACTAAAGGTGTTTGGAGGCTACAAATAAATAATACCTGCTTTAAAATGAAACGTGGTTAATATCCACAACAGAAAAACCCGGAGGGGGAGAAAAGTCACTTGTATCAGGGGTCAGGCTGATGGTGCGAAGAGAGGGAGAGAGGGCAAAGGAGGGAGAGAGGGCAGCGGAGGGAGGGAGGACAGCGGTAGAACAGCGCGTTAAAGAGGCCCGGCTTTTCGGAGTCAAAGGTAAAGAGGTCCGCACATTAAAAGCGGGTGGCCGGTTTATGCCTTTACTGACAGTAACTTTGGAAAGAGAAGCCGCGGGGATGAACCGCATAAAGTAACAGCAGAAGGCGGCCGCCCGCTTTTAATGTGCGGACCTCTTTACCGCTGACTCCGGAAAGCCGGGCCACTTTACCGCGGTAGGAGAACAGTGAGGGCGAGCCGCAAGAAATGCGCTCCACTTCTGCTGAGGAGGGAGCCCACCAAGCCCATCACTGTGTCACTACATGAGTAAAAATATGCAAGCCTCCTTTTTTGGGCTGGACAGTGCAGCTCGGTAGTGGCGTGAGTCTCTAGAAAGCGTTACTCCGTATCAAGGAAATACATGCTCATTTCATGTGACGGAAGGGCTGTTGGGGGGGGGGGCGGCATTTATGATGGGGGTCGCGGGCTAAAAACTTTGGGAACCCCTGATGTAGAGTAATGTTTGTAAATGATTGTGTTAAGACGGATTTACTCTCAATTGATTTTGGGTTGATCTACAGCGAATGAAAAGTGGAATCTGACCTCTGTTTTTGACTCAAAGGAGCAGTATGTAAAAATGTGGCCAAAAGTGGTACTGCAGCCTCTCCCACTCTCCCTGACTCAGGTTGCCAGATATGCAGACAAATCCAGCTGGGACCATAACAGCTGAATAGACAAGAGTTTTGTCAACAACAAATCTATAACCAACACCTTTTTCACAAAGATAGAAATCCTGGTTTTATTCCTTGTTTTGTCGTTAATGATTTGAGAATCATAACGCGATCTTTTTTAGTTCTGCGCCACATGGTACTTTACCAGTGAGATTAGCTCCACGCGGTGAGTTCTGGCGCCCGCATCACAGACTTTCTGATTGGTAAAACTGGCGGGACATCAAAATGAAAACAATAACAAGATTTAGGGGCTGTGAAACTCATTTTGAAATTCAAAAATCTCTGATTTACTGCTATCAGTTAAAGAAGTATTGGAAAAAAGCATGTTTTATTAAAGCCTTTTGACAGATTATGGCCTTTTAATGATGCCTTGACGTAAAAATCTTACATAATACTACTTTAACCATAAGTCAAACATGAAGAATATGAAAGGAATAAGATTAAAAAGTTTTAAGGCCATGGAAACCTTGATTTATATTTTTATTGTCTGGACAAAACATTTATTTCCTAAAGGTTGTCTGAAGTCTCTGCTCTGATGCATATTGCTGCACTTCATTTAAAAGCTTTTTGTCTGATTAAGTTTGGTCTGAAAGAATCAAAAATAAATCGGGTTTCAAGTCCGTGAGATCGCTGCTGCGCCTCTCCTTTCTTGTCAGAGTAGAGGTCATTTCTGTAACTCTAAAAAATCCAGATTTAAGCTAATATCAGAGACTTTAACCATAGACTGTAAATATGAACGGATCTAGTGAGGCCTATCTGCACTCTTGAACCTTTGCACTTTTCCCTCCTGCCATCTTTATAAAAATGGCTGTGAGTGGCTCCTCCCGCAGGAAAATGCACAAGCCCCCATTTATTTAACTAGTGCATTCTGAAGTCCACAGCGGCTAAGCTAGACTGGTCCAAAAAAAATACTCCCCTCCGCATCAACAGCATCTGGAACGTAGCTTTGGGACAAGAGTCGACTTTTGAACTGTCCTGTAAAGACGTTTTCGAGAGGAAACAAGGCGTAAAAATAGATTGGATAGTTCTGTTTCTGGGTACACCCCCACAGGCAAGGACTCAGATTACAGGCATGTCAGCGCACGTGCCACCGCTCAGAACACGTGGAGCGATCATACAAACCCCTGACTGTGTGTGTTGTGTGTCCTCAGTCTCGGAGCTGGCGTAAAGTGATGCAGGTGAACATGGAGCTGAGCGAGGTGCGGCGCCAAACTGACCAGAGCTTCATCTCTCTGCTGCAGGCCGTGAGAGTCGGCAGGTGATCATGGGAAGAATGAGACCAGGGCCGGACTGGACCCAGGGCCAGACTGGACCTGGGGCCGCGGGAACAGACTGGACCTGGGGCCGCGGGAACTGACTGGACCCGGGGCCGCGGGAACGGACTGGACCCGGGAACGCGGGAACGGACTGGCCGCGGGAACGGACTGGACCCGGGGCCGCGGGAACGGACTGGACCCGGGAACGCGGGAACGGACTGGCCGCGGGAACGGACTGGACCCGGGAACGCGGGAACGGACTGGACCCGGGGCTGCGGGAACAGACTGGACCTGGGGCCGCGGGAACGGACTGGACCTGGGGCCGCGGGAACGGACTGGACCCGGGGCCGCGGGAACGGACTGGACCCGGGGCCGCGGGAACGGACTGGACCCGGGGCCGCGGGAACGGACTGGACCCGGGAACGCGGGAACGGACTGGACCCGGGAACGCGGGAACGGACTGGACCCGGGGCTGCGGGGCCGGACTGGCTTCTCGCTCTCACCCCTCTTCTCTCCCCCCTCAGAGTGACAGAAGACGTCACCTCCAGGCTGATGCACAGCGCCCATCACAGCATTGAGCGAGACGGGATCCTGGCCACGCGCCTCTGTACGCACAAGGACGACGTGGAGCTCACCAACCAGAACAAGCTCCAGCAGCTGCCAGGTAACCACGGAAACCACACCACCCACCTCACAGCTCCAGGGTCCCATGATCTAAGTCAGAATAATAAATGTAGACGTTTGATTTGACATGTTTCGCCTTTAGAAATGGCGATGAGACTATTTACTTTGTCCTTTCCTGATTTTAGAATGTGAAATGATAGAAGGAGATGGAAACTGATGCTGTGTCTCTGCAGGAGGAGTGCGTGAGTTCGAGGCCCTGGACAGTGACCCGTCTCTGGAGAAGACCATCAACGCACACAGCCCTGTGAGCCGCCTGCTGCAGCTCAAAGTGGGAGCACAGGTACAGGCACAGAGTCGCCTCCAAGACTGAAGATATAGTCCTTTTATCTTGGTTTTTCTATAAATACAGTGGAGACAGGTTTGCAGTTGCCAATTGTGCAAGTTTTCTCAAGTTTTTGTAAAAGGAAATGAGTTCTTTATCCACTTTGACAGAATGTGAGAGAAATCCAGGAAATCACTTTCTTTTTTTTACACAATTTTTTTTCAGTGGTGCAGAAAATGAGTTTTTGGCCAATGACAAAAGTTCAACTCGAGACATTCTAATGTAACCTTTTGTTGGAAATGATGGAGGTCAAACTTTTCTCATAGGTCTTCATACACGCACTATAGCTGGTATTTTGGCCCATTCTTCTATGCAGATCTTCCCTATAGCTGTGATATTTTGCTGCACTATAGCTGCAGGACCAAAACCTATGCAGGCAGTTCAGCAGGAAGTACATCCTCATGACCATATATGTCATGTACGTGAGGCCGGGAACTGGGACTATGAACGTAGGCAGTAAATCATGAGCTTTGTAGAATTTGTGAGGCGTCATTAGAGACCCCTTGTTGCTGCAGTCTTTCTGACCCCTTGTGTAATGTATTGGTAAACATTTATACATTTGTTGGTTCTGTCACTTTAAGACATGTGCGTATGTTCCCCTGGGGGGCGCTGTTCAATATGTTAAGCACGTAATATTCAGCGATATAAAAAAGTCTGCAAGTAAACGTTTGAATTACCACCTGTCTTCGTCTCGTTCATATGTCCTGCAAGTTTTATACAGACATTACACTTTGTTGTTGCAGTCTTTCTGACTCCTTGTTGCTGCAGGTGATGTTGACAAAGAACCTGGACGTGGCGCGGGGCCTGGTGAACGGAGCCAGAGGCGTGGTCGTCTCCTTCCAGACAGAGAAACACGGTACTTTTCAGACACATTGTTAAAAACTAAAGTCTAACTTAAAGCTCTGCAGTGTTTCATACGTGACGTCTCGGGGAAATGCCATCATTAGAGGTTTTTATTCCATGGAGCCAATTTAAGGCCCCAGGCTTTAACATTTATAAAAAGGTCATTCGATATGAGATGGTGGCGTTGCAGAAAATGCCAGGTTTTTTTTAAATTGTGGAGAGCTTTTTGAATTTGCTTCTACATTATTACACATCATGCTCTGCGCCTCGGGGGGTAGTGAGTGTATGGCTGTATATGGATCCATCACTGAACTGAACCCCACCAACAAACACTGGGATCATGAACATGTGTGGCCTCTTTCTTAGGTTTTGATGAAGCTTCAGAATTCATATAATTTTATAACTGGGTTGAGTTTTAACATTTGGACCAATAAAGGCAGGAGCTGTTCTCCCAAATATAATCATAATAATTATAATAATCATAACCATGTTTGTGAATCTGTCTTTACAGAGAGTCGAGGCCCAGAGAGATTTTCAGTAAAATACATTTGCTCCAAATACTACTTGTTTGGTAAAAATGTTAAAAAGTAAAATAACCAGAGACAGAGGAGTCACGAACACTGGATAACTGCTGGGCCTCCTCCTTCTCTTTCTGCCTTTTCCTCCTCCTTCTCTTCCTTGTCCTTCTCCTCCTTCTCCTTTTCTTTCTGCTTCTCCTTCTCCTTCTCTCTTCTTTCTCCTCTTCCTTCTTGTCCCCTTGTCCTTCTTCCTCTACTTCTCCTCCTTCTTTCTTCCTCCTTCTCTTCTTACCTCTCCTGTGAATATTTTTGTTTACTAAATACTGTACATTTTTTCTAACTTATTCCATCAAACTGAATGAAATGGTAATTGTCAGATCTACAAATCATTTATCAACGTTTTCATTTCTCAAACACGAAGCGCCTTTTTATATGTCAGTCTTTGTCCTTCACAAAATCAAATAATTTTCTGAGTTTACTTTCAAAGATTGTTTCTTTGTATAAAAGTGACAAGTCTAAAGCTAAAACAAAAGTTATTCAGGATGTTGTAGAGACGCTCAGAGCTCTGGGACTTCAGCTTTTTGATCCAGCCATGTTTGGTTTTGTTTTGTATGGACCAATTTGATCTTGAGTCTGAAATAATTATGATAAAAATAGTGATATAAATAATCCATCCATCCATTTTCTTCCCCTTAATCCATTTCTGGGTCGGGGGGGCGGCAGTCACATCGCACCAGCCCCTCACTGATCCTCCTGCAAACAAAATAGAACTGAAAGATTACTGTTAGTTCCGCGTCCGAATGTGGTCCGAGCGCAGATGGTCCGAGCGCAGATGGTCCGAGCGCAGATGGTCCGAGCGCAGATGGTCCGAGCGCAGATGGTCCGAGCGCAGATGGTCCGAGCGCAGATGGTCCGAGCGCAGATGGTCCGAGCGCAGATGGTCCGAGCGCAGATGGTCCGAGCGCAGATGGTCCGAGCGCAGATGGTCCGAGCGCAGATGGTCCGAGCGCAGATGGTCCGAGCGCAGATGGTCCGAGCGCAGATGGTCCGAGCGCAGATGGTCCGAGCGCAGATGGTCCGAGCGCAGATGGTCCGAGCGCAGATAGTCCGAGCGTAGATAGTCCGAGGTGGTCCCACAGGTCTCTCCCATAGACCAGTCTCTCCAGAGGATACGATGTAAGCTAGCTCTGTTCAGGGCTTGACATCTTTGATCATGTTTTGCTTTAGTTCTCTCTTCTCTTCCTCACTGTTGTGTGGTTTGGGCTGTTTTGCTGAGTCTGCAGTTATAGCCAGAGGAGTTATGCACAGGGGTGCACATAAGTGGTACGCATGCGCGCCAAATATCAGAAATGCATACTTGCATCACTTGAGTTAGTAAGCCCCTTTGCGTACTTCACATAGAGCAGTCCTTCTCAAACAGGCGCTCCTATAGTATTAGACTAAAGCTTGACTTTCATGCCGCACGCGCCACACACACACAAACGCCATACCACACTCGCGCACACCCTTTTTCCCCGTTCCATTCATACGTACGCATCATCCATTCTCTGGTAGTTGGCCAAAGGATTCAAGCATACATTTACACACACATTTACCAGCCTGTGGCGCTCCTCTGGGCCTGTGAGGATTGAACCAGGACACTTTTTCCTGCTGGGTTAAAGACACACAATTGCTTGTTGCAAGTGTGTGTCTTTGTGTAACTCAAAATAAATACATATTGCGTTACTGCAAGAAACAGAGCTGGACTATGGAGCCTTAATGGTGCGTTCAGACCGGATCATGCGTTGCGTCGGCTTTCAATGCAATGTCTATGGAGACGAGCGTTCGAGCGTCACAACGCACGGACCTCTCGGCACGCACGGACTGTTCAGTAGAGACGCACGGACTGTTCAGTAGAGACGCACGGACTGTTCAGTAGAGACGCACGGACTGTTCAGTAGAGACGCACGGACTGTTCAGTAGAGACGCACGGACTGTTCAGTAGAGACGCACAGACTGCTCAGTAGAGACGCACGGACTGTTCAGTAGAGACGCACGGACTGCTCAGTAGAGACGCACGGACTGCTCAGTAGAGACGCACGGACTGTTCAGTAGAGACGCACGGACTGCTCAGTAGAGACGCACGGACTGCTCAGTAGAGACGCACGGACTGTTCAGTAGAGACGCACGGACTGCTCAGTAGAGACGCACGGACTGCTCAGTAGAGACGCACGGACTGTTCAGTAGAGACGCACGGACTGTTCAGTAGAGACGCACGGACTGCTCAGTAGAGACGCACGGACTGCTCAGTAGAGACGCACGGACTGCTCAGTAGAGACGCACGGACTGCTCAGTAGAGACGCACGGACTGTTCAGTAGAGACGCACGGACTGTTCAGTAGAGACGCACGGACTGCTCAGTAGAGACGCACGGACTGCTCAGTAGAGACGCACGGACTGCTCAGTAGAGACGCACGGACTGCTCAGTAGAGACGCACGGACTGCTCAGTAGAGACGCACGGACTGTTCAGTAGAGACGCACGGACTGCTCAGTAGAGACGCACGGACTGCTCAGTAGAGACGCACGGACTGCTCAGTAGAGACGCACGGACTGCTCAGTAGAGACGCACGGACTGCTCAGTAGAGACGCACGGACTGCTCAGTAGAGACGCACGGACTGCTCAGTAGAGACGCACGGACTGCTCAGTAGAGACGCACGGACTGTTCAGTAGAGACGCACGGACTGCTCAGTAGAGACGCACGGACTGCTCAGTAGAGACGCACGGACTGCTCAGTAGAGACGCACGGACTGCTCAGTAGAGACGCACGGACTGTTCAGCAGAGACGCACGGACTGTTCAGCAGAGACGCACGGACTGTTCAGCAGAGACGCACGGACTGCTCAGCAGAGACGCACGGACTGCTCAGCAGAGACGCACGGACTGTTCAGCAGAGACGCACGGACTGTTCAGCAGAGACGCACGGACTGCTCAGCAGAGACGCACGGACTGCTCAGCAGAGACGCACGGACTGCTCAGCAGAGACGCACGGACTGCTCAGCAGAGACGCACGGACTGCTCAGCAGAGACGCACGGACTGCTCAGCAGAGACGCACGGACTGCTCAGCAGAGACGCACGGACTGCTCAGCAGAGACTCACGGACTGCTCAGTAGAGACGCACGGACTGTTCAGTAGAGACGCACGGACTGTTCAGCAGAGACGCACGGACTGTTCAGTAGTTGGGCGGCACGGTGGCTGAGTGGATAGCACTCTCGCCTCTCAGCAAGAAGGTCCTGGGTTCAAATCCCGGTCGAACCAGGGCCTTTCTGAGTGGAGTTTGCATGTTCTCCCCGTGTCTGCGTAGGTTTCCTCCGGGTACTCCGGTTTCCCCTACCACTAAAAATATGTACAATAGATCTGGCATGCGCCTCCTGTTCGGCGACCCCGCTCTGTGGAGTGAGAGGACAAGTGCCCAAAAAATTGTAAACCGCTTTGTGACCCTTGTCTGTGAAAGGCGGTATATAAATAAACATTACTTACTTACTTACTTACTAGAGACGCACGGACTGTTCAGTAGAGACGCACAGACTTGGCGGGAAAGTGAAAAGGGAGGAGCAGGAGCAAAAAATCAACGCGCACAGGAGATGGATTCTGCTCATCCTTTCCTTGGGACGTTCGTGCGACAACCAATCAGAGAGCAGCAAAGTGGTCACAGGGACATTACGAGTATTTCCAGTCTGCTCGCTCAGTCCGCTAAACAGCCAAAACAGGACTGATGCGCAAATACCGTTTAATAATATGAATAAACGTATGGCGCACCTCCGTGAACACATACTGCTATTATATAAAGCCCGTGGAAGGTCTCTGTTCAAAAACACGCTGCAAGCTGCATATTGGAGAAGATCTGTACACAAGAAGCCGCTAGCCAAACTCTGTTAGCATCAGAGCCGGCCGGCTCTGATGCTGATGCTGAAGACCCCTGTGTCTAAAAACTAGAGAATGCACGTCTGGTGAGCGGGGCTTCAGCGTTTCAGCGTTGGCGGTCTGAAAGCACCATAAGGTAGTGTCCATGTCCTCCCCGTGTCTCTAAATTAAAGCTGTGGTACCTACATTTTCCCTTTCATTAATAATGCATAAAAATGTTGGTTGTGTCCAAAATTAAAATGTTGTGAACAAATGAAACAGGACACAGTTGTTTTGATTTTGTTTTGCATTTTTAAAAAAGAGCCATGTGAGTCATTTGACTTGGTTAGAGCGATTTATCTGAGCTGATCTAAACTTAACCATTAAAAAGAAGAAAGTATAAAATCTCGATGGAAAACCACGCAACAAATGGAGTAAGTACCATCTCCTGGTACTCATCTGAGTACCTCACTGAAAAAGTTATGTGCACCCCTGGTTATAGCCACTATCGGCATCATGCTGGCGTGTTTACCTGCGCTCTAGACACTAAAGGAGGCGTGGCCTAGAGGACTCGGCCTGTTTGTAACAGCGCCGCTCCTCGTTCTGTGATTGGAGGAGAGCGGGCGTCACGCTAAGTCTCTACTCAGCACTTTTATATACGGCCTGAATTCACACACAGCTGAATCAAGGAGCTCTTGTATGTAGTAATAAGCATTTTTATGAACAAACCACTTTTATCCAAACTATTTTGTCCTTTTTCCAGTAATCATGGCTCAATGCTTTCTGTAAAAGTGGATCTTGCTTTGCTAAAGTGTGCGTCTGTTTAACGACACACAAGATGGAAATGAGTCAATTTTAACACAATCCAAGCATCAACCTTTGTTCTGTGATAAATGATGCGTTTCCAAATTCAATATTGTAACACAGTTTATTGTGACAGGTTTTGTTTTTTTGCCGTTTTTGTTTTTGCTAAGGCCACGAGGACTTGTAAACATGGAGGAGACTGAACCAAAACCGTATTAAGTTTGTGTATTCACCGCTAATGTCACCTTTCCATTTTCTCTAAACAGCAATAAATGTCGTACAGGTCTTAAATTTGACTTTGAGCTGCCCTCAATGAAAGAATGGTAATGTGGGTTAATGTTGTTTGGTCTGTGTGTGTGTGTGTGTGTTGTGGTTCAGGATACCCGTGTGTGCGTTTCCTGTGTGGAGTGACGGAGGTGATGAAGCCCGAGCGCTGGGTCTTCAGGTCTGGGACAGGCCTCCTCAGCCGCCAGCAGCTGCCCCTCAAGCTCGCCTGGGCCATCTCCATCCACAAGAGCCAGGTGTGTGTCTGTGTGTGTGTGTGTGTGAGCGTCTGTGTATCTGCGAGCGTCTGGGTGTGTGTGTGTGTGTGTGTCTGGGCCATCTCCATTCTAAAGAGCCAGGTGTGTCTGTCTGTCTGTGTATCTTGGTCTGAGTTTGGGTCTATGAGTCTGTGTCTGGGTGTGTCTGTGAGTGTGTGTGTGTGTGTGTGTGTCTGTCTGTCTCTGTCTATGAGTGTGTCTGCCTGTGTGTGTCTGTGTCTGTGTGTGTCCATACTTTACAACGCTGGACACTTTGAAACACACTCTCACTTTTTTTAATCATTCATTTAACAACAAAAATGTACAAAAACCAGGCGTTTGGAGTCCGTGGTTTCACTAATGGAAGTGCGTGGGACAAACGGTTGTTATGGAGACGGAGCAGAAAAACCTTCATGTGTTGTCGTTTGTCAAAATGTTTCCTTTTTTTCTTTTTCAATATTTGTGGCTGAACCTCTTCTTCATCCACTTCAGCTTTTCCTTTGATCGTCTGAAATCTACAAAATGAACGAGATAGAAAAAAATGAGCAAATGTCGCAGTGTGTCTCATGATTAGTGTCTTTTTAACGAACGGACTGAAGATTTTAGTGTTTGACATTGAAAAATACACAACAAATTAAATTGTTAGAAATACAGTGGCTTGCTAAAGTATTAATACAGATTGAAATGTTGCACTTTGTCATGTTTACAACCATTAACCAAAAGATTTTATTATTTTTTTGTTACTGAAAGGTCACACTCAAACGCACAACTGTGAAGGGAAAGTAAATGATCCCTGATTCTGTTGTTGTATTAATAATAATAATAAAGTGAGAAGTTGGGCCTGCACAAGACTTCATACCCGTCTGTTACTTTACTTTCAGTAAAAAAAATCAAAATAAAATCTTTATGGCTGTAAACTTGACAAAATGTGCAAAAGTTTAAAGGAGCAGTATGTAAACGTGTGGCCAAAAGTGGTACTGCAGCCTCTCCCACTCTCCCTGACTCAGGTTGCCAGATATGCAGACGAATCCAGCTGGGACCATAACAGCTGAATAGACAAGAGTTTTGTCAACAACAAATCTATAACCAACACCTTTTTCACAAAGATAGAAATCCTGGTTTTATTCCTTGTTTTGTTGTTAATGATTTGAGAATCATAACGAGACCTTTTTTAGTTCTGCGCCACATGGTACTTTACCAGTGAGATTAGCTCCACACGGTGAGTTCTGGCAACCTGGATCACAAACTTTCTGATTGGTGAAACGGTGGAGGGCAGGACATAGAAATGAAAACAATAACAAGATTTAGAGACTGGAAAAGTATTTTAGAAATCCAAATATCTCTGAACGACTGTTATCAGTTAAAGAAGTATTGGAAAAGAACATGTTTTATTAATGCCTTTGGACAGATTAGGGCCCTTTAATGATGACTTGAAATGAAAATCTTACATATTGCTTCTTTAGGTTATATTAATACTTTCTCAAGACTGTATTCTTAAAAAAAAATTGTGAGACAAATTAGTGATAGATTTTCTACAGAGCTTTGAACTCTTTGTGCAACGATGACTGTCACAAAAACTCTGCCTATAAATGTGTGGGAAACATCTCAGGTGAAATTACATTATTTTCAAACTCATGGTAGTATTTGCAGCTGGTGATTTTCAAATTAGGGGAACAAGAAAAATGATGTACCTCCCCCTGGTGGTAGTGTAGGGGTAGAGCAGCCGATAGTGTTGTTTACCAGTCAAACTTCAAGCCTAGTGTATACTTTCGCGGCGAGGCTTACGTTAGCGGTTGCGGTGGACCTACGTAAGCACAATTGATGTTATACTGGCGCGTTCCCCTTACGGAGTTTTGAGGAGAATGTTGTAATCCCACAACAAACCACATGAGGGCGATCACACAGGAGCGGTCCCATTTACGCTGCTACTTTGTCCTCTTCAGAACAACAATAACAAACAAAGCTGTTTGAGCTCATTACACGTGTTTCTACTGTAGGTTTATGTGATAGTGTGAGATTTCATAACACTTTGAAGCAACTTTTGTTAAAGTTGAACTCATCATTCTATCAATGTGCAGAAGCCAGTACTTTTCCCTTGTTTTGTCTATCTGAAGGCCAAGCTACATGGCACTGTGGCAGCTGCTGATTGGAGGTCTCCATGCCTCCGCTCTGTATAATACACTTGTATTCTGTTGTTCATGTTGTTCGTGCTGTCTCTACCATCGGCAATAAAACATGTCTTCTGTCTGAATGAAAGACGCGATCCCAGACATATCATCTTCTTCAGTAGTTTTATGGATTCATTATTTTATAAGTCATTTCAACTGTGATGCTGTGAATAAAGGCACAGTTCTGTTGGAAACATAGTTATTATTAAATAGTTTTCAGCACAAACAGCAAAACGATAATAGTGGTAAATATCTGAGACAAACATGAACGATTTACGAGTGCAGGAGGAAAGCAACAAACGCAGCTACGATTCAAACAAGACAGGAACAGTTTATAAGTTATATATATGTTAGATATGTTATATGTTAGATATAAGTTATATATATGTTAGGTATAAGTTGTATATATGTTAGGTATAAGTTGTATATATGTTAGGTATAAGTTGTATATATGTTAGGTATAAGTTATATATATGTTAGATAGTCCACTGTCTCCTGTATATCAGGCTCTGTCCAAACTGCTTTTCCTTCGAAGCACAAAGCTCTCTGCTCCATAGTGCCTCGTCCAATCACAGCGGAGATTCCTTGCGGCGACCCTTACGTAGTTAGAAAATGTCCCACTCTAATACATGAAAAGTAACTGTTCAATTGTTAATGGCCAGAATAATAATCTAATAAGTAATTAATAATGAATGTATTTAATAATAATATTAATGATAATGATTTAAGAATAATATTTCAAAATCAATCAAATGATGCAGAACGCTGATGAAGGCTTTTCTATAGATCATCTTTTTTTAATTCCCTGCTTCTTTAACGTTAAATAGAAATGTTGGTGTATTGCGTAATGGCTTTATCCTTTATCCTGAGTCCCACAACAGCGCTGGGGATTGTGGGTAATTGAGTTCAGAGGTTGCGACCCTCAGTTCCTCGCCCTCACACGGGAAATGAAACCATAACTTTCAATCAGCGACATACGCACAGATTACACAGAACATGATCTGTGTCTATGTGACCTGCAGGGGAAAGACGGAGCAGACATCTGAAGCTAAGCAGGGCAGGGCCTGGTTAGCACTGAGATGGGAGACCTCTGGGATAACAGCAGGTGCCACAGTGGGGCCGCTGTAGTGTCCCAAACTGTCATTGTGTTCTTAAGCAAGACACTTCCCCCACATTAGAATGAGTCTGGTGTGTGTGTGTGTGGATGGTTGGTGGTGGGAGGGGCCGATGGCACAGACTGGTTGCCTCGCTTCTGTCAATGTGCCCCAGGGCAGCTGTGGCTATGGAAGTACTTTATCACCACAGTGTATGGAATGAATAATGACATGTGGAGCGTGTGTGTCCAGAAAACGCTGTATGAAACCGATGTGTTATTTTTGTACCGTATTTGGACCACGGACTTTGCAGTCGGTTATAATTGCGGCTTGGGGCTTTTTGTGTGTGCAAGCGCAGATGATGTCCAATAATGATAAAAAAACAGGAACAGATGTAATTTTCGAGGTGATGTGAAAGTCTATTTCGGCCAATTTGTATTTCTGATGTCGTGTCGGAGACTTCAAACGCTGCTCTACGTGGGACTAAAACTACCACAAACTAAAACTGCACGGATAAATGTCCATGTTGGAATGTTCAGATATCTCTACAAATTATCCAGATGGTTTTATCCTTTAGTTTAAACTCAGTGAATGAAAAACATTTATGATTTTCTAAGAGCACAAACACAATTTATTTATTTTTTTAACTTTTTTTTTTAAGCCCTAGTTTTGTAATAACGGGTCTTTACCAAATGTTTTAGATACAGTTTGATGTAAAAGTGCCTAAAACCAAGTGATAGATTTTAGCTTCAAGCAGATAAAGTGGTTCTAAAAGTAATCCATAAAATGCCCGAAGAAACTATCAAAGGGATCAAAAAATGTTTTGTGCTTGTAAAAAAACCTGCATTTATTTATTCTTTAAGCCGTTAATTTATTCGGCCGACAAAAATAGTTTGTCAATTCAAAACATGTCTTTCTTTTACACCCAGATTTTTAACCTTTTTGTAGTGATCAATCAATGAATATTTTATTTATAGAGCCCGTTACAACATTCAAGGCGACCAAAATGCTTCACAATAAAATCCATTAAAACATTTATGCATTAAAAACCGTTAAAAAGCATTAAAGAGCCTCAATTTAAAAAGGCCAATCTGTTCCAGAGTCTGGGTCCAGGACTGAGAAGGACCGACCCCAAGTCTATCTAGGTACTTCCAGGAGGAGCTGAGATGAGGACCTCAAGGATCTGCCCGAGTCACGAACAGTCAGAAGTTTTGGCCGAGACCATTGACTCGAAACAGGACTGGAAGCTACTGTAGGGGATAAAGTACAGGGGTGTCTTTGTGGGTCTTGAAAATCAGTCAATGAGCAGAGTATTGTGACTAGGTGAAATATCAAACCCGATTCTGAAAGACTGGACTGTCTCCTTTCATAAGCAAAATGAAGTTGGTTTCTAGCTGTAATTCCCAGTGGAACAGAGGGAAGTTTGACAGAAATCTTCAGTCTCAGACAAATGCGTCAATGGCAGTCAGTTGGTTGATAAATGGTGTTTAATACTTGTCGCTGGGTCGGTCCTCCCGTACTGCTTCTGCTACATCCCTCAGTCCTATGGATGTTTTTCTTTCTCTCTGATTTGAGGAGAAAACACTTCATTAAAACTGAAGGAAGAGTCTGTCGTTGTCGTTCGTAGGTCGCTGTTTTCTCTCCGGAAACGCGTCATTTCCAAGTCTCCTCCTTTCACTTTCAGTTTTCACACAGGTTCTCGTCTCAGCTGCCATCGAGGAAACTTAAACTTAAACTTAGGAAACTACGATGGTGCTGAGAACTATGAACAAGAAGTACAAGACACCGCACAAAGCACCACACACACACAATACCACCAATTCTGTGGTGTGTGTGTGTGTCTTGCCGGTTGTTGTGTGTTGACAGTTGTGTGTTGTTGCAGGGCATGACTCTGGACTGTGTGGAGATCTCGTTGGCTCGTGTGTTTGAGAGCGGTCAGGCGTACGTGGCTCTGTCTCGGGCCCGGAGTCTGGACGGGCTCCGGGTCCTGGACTTTGACCCCAGAGTGGTGAAGGCCGACCCCGACGTGCTGAGCTTCTACCGCCGACTGAGGAAGGAGCGGCTTCTCACACAGGTCTGTCAGTGTGTCTGTCTGTCTGTCTCTGTGTGTGTGTCTTTCTGTCTCTGTGTGTGTGTCTCTGTCTGTCTGTGTCAATCTGTCTCTCTGTGTGTGTCTGTCTTTGTCTGTCTGTCTCTGTGTGTGTCTCTAGCTGCGTTTCCATTGAGCATCAAATTTCGAAATTTGAATTTGCGCATCATAAAATGTCTAATGGAAACCCGCAAATTTCGAATAAACCACAGTTTTTCGATAAAAAGTTAATGCGCTTAAAATTGGTGGTTTTTTGGACGTATCAAAATTAAGTTTTTCGCAAAACGGCAGCAATGGAAACACTTATTTCGATATAGCGGAGGAAGCCGAGCTGCTTTATTCAGTGAGTTTGGTATCTGTCATTTCTATTTACTGTTTTAACATTGGTTTTTGTCTCTTGTTGAACTAAAAGGACCTGCAGAACGAAGGGCTGTGTTTGCGGCCTCTCTGCAGCTTCTGGGGCAGGGGAATTCTGACAAATTACTGCAGTTCTCCTCCACTCACAGAACGAGCAGCGAACAGCCTGCGTCCTCTAGCCCCTACAGCCTGTGTCCTCTAGCCTCTACAGCCTGTGTCCTCTAGTCTCTACAGCCTGTGTCCTCTAGCCTCTACAGCCTGCGTCCTCTAGTCTCTACAGCCTGTGTCCTCTAGTCTCTACAGCCTGCGTCCTCTAGTCTCTACAGCCTGCGTCCTCTAGTCTCTACAGCCTGTGTCCTCTAGTCTCTACAGCCTGTGTCCTCTAGTCTCTACAGCCTGCGTCCTCTAGCCTCTACAGCCTGTGTCCTCTAGTCTCTACAGCCTGTGTCCTCTAGCCTCTACAGCCTGCGTCCTCTAGTCTCTACAGCCTGTGTCCTCTAGCCTCTACAGCCTGTGTCCTCTAGCCTCTACAGCCTGTGTCCTCTAGCCTCTACAGCCTGCGTCCTCTAGCCTCTACAGCCTGCGTCCTCTAGCCTCTACAGCCTGTGTCCTCTAGCCTCTACAGCCTGTGTCCTCTAGCCTCTACAGCCTGTGTCCTCTAGCCTCTACAGCCTGCGTCCTCTAGCCTCTACAGCCTGCGTCCTCTAGCCTCTACAGCCTGTGTCCTCTAGTCTCTACAGCCTGTGTCCTCTAGCCTCTACAGCCTGCGTCCTCTAGCCTCTACAGCCTGCGTCCTCTAGCCTCTACAGCCTGCGTCCTCTAGCCTCTACAGCCTGCGTCCTCTAGTCTCTACAGCCTGCGTCCTCTAGCCTCTACAGCCTGCGTCCTCTAGCCTCTACAGCCTGCGTCCTCTAGCCTCTACAGCCTGCGTCCTCTAGCCTCTACAGCCTGTGTCCTCTAGTCTCTACAGCCTGTGTCCTCTAGCCTCTACAGCCTGCGTCCTCTAGCCTCTACAGCCTGCGTCCTCTAGTCTCTACAGCCTGCGTCCTCTAGCCTCTACAGCCTGCGTCCTCTAGCCTCTACAGCCTGTGTCCTCTAGTCTCTACAGCCTGCGTCCTCTAGCCTCTACAGCCTGCGTCCTCTAGCCTCTACAGCCTGCGTCCTCTAGCCTCTACAGCCTGCGTCCTCTAGCCTCTACAGCCTGTGTCCTCTAGTCTCTACAGCCTGTGTCCTCTAGCTCTACAGCCTGTGTCCTCTAGCCTCTACAGCCTGCGTCCTCTAGCCTCTACAGCCTGTGTCCTCTAGCCTCTACAGCCTGCGTCCTCTAGCCTCTACAGCCTGCGTCCTCTAGCCTCTACAGCCTGTGTCCTCTAGTCTCTACAGCCTGTGTCCTCTAGTCTCTACAGCCTGTGTCCTCTAGTCTCTACAGCCTGTGTCCTCTAGTCTCTACAGCCTGCGTCCTCTAGTCTCTACAGCCTGTGTCCTCTAGTCTCTACAGCCTGTGTCCTCTAGTCTCTACAGCCTGCGTCCTCTAGTCTCTACAGCCTGTGTCCTCTAGTCTCTACAGCCTGTGTCCTCTAGTCTCTACAGCCTGTGTCCTCTAGTCTCTACAGCCTGTGTCCTCTAGTCTCTACAGCCTGTGTCCTCTAGCCTCTACAGCCTGTGTCCTCTAGTCTCTACAGCCTGTGTCCTCTAGCCTCTACAGCCTGCGTCCTCTAGTCTCTACAGCCTGTGTCCTCTAGCCTCTACAGCCTGTGTCCTCTAGCCTCTACAGCCTGTGTCCTCTAGTCTCTACAGCCTGTGTCCTCTAGTCTCTACAGCCTGTGTCCTCTAGTCTCTACAGCCTGTGTCCTCTAGTCTCTACAGCCTGTGTCCTCTAGCCTCTACAGCGCTGCTAAACACCAGGGCTTCGACTTCAAAATTCGAATATAATTCTAAAATAAAATATATATATATATTTGAACAAATATTAGACAACCCTTATAATTAGAAATGTATTTAATGACTGCAAATAAAATAGTTAGCTCCCAAAGGTTTCACCGGGACGTGCTAGGCAGGTAACAGCTAAGCTAGCTAGCTGTTTCATGGTAACTTCCGGGTTTTTCGCGATCGCTTTTTGTCACTTTAAAACAGTATTTTTGTCATGAAAACGTTGACAGCAAATTCTGAAATCGTCCGTGCATGTGTGTTAAGGATGTATATGTATACTGTATTGTCCGATTGACGTTTAATGGTGTTGATTGATTGATATGTATTTGTTTATTGAGCGTGGCTAGCTCCGCTAGCTTCTCTACACAGACAAGTGTGCAGAAAACTGCACAATGTAGTGACAGGCGCTGATAGCTTGTTGTACTTGCAGAGTAATGGCAGTATTTTACACACCTGAATTACAAACAGAGATTGCATTGGGGCTGCGGTCATTATTGGTTTGAGAGTTCTGTTATCAAGAAAAAATTATCGGAAGAATTGCATTCAAGTCAATGGAGTGTTCTACTGCTGCTGTGAGGAGCTGTATAATAAATTATAATTAAATATTAGAATATATTCTAATGTTTAAATTAATACATCCGGACGCGAAACTAATGGTATTCTTTTACTTATATATTGTGTTAGCAGTGCATTGCTTTAGTACCATTTCATCAGTGATTGTTGCACAGCTTACAAGTTGCGCTAATGCTAATGTTAGCATACGTATCAGATCGCAAATAAAACTAGGTGGCTAGGCAAGGCAAGGCAAGGCAAGTTTATTTATATAGCACAATTCATACACAAGGCAACTCAAAGTGCTGAACAAAACAAGAAAGCATTAAAATCATAAATAATCACAGAACATTAAAAAGAAAGATACAAATATAAAATCCCTCAGTTGTATGCACAGCTAAACAGAACTGTCTTTAACCTGGCTTTAAACATTGTCAGAGAGGAGGCCTGTCTCACATCTCCAGGAAGACTGTTCCAGATTTTAGCAGCATGAATCTGAAAAGCAGCCTCCCCATGTTTAGTTCTGACTCTGGGCACTAACAGGAGTCCAGTCCCTGTGCTCCTCAGAGTCCGGGCTGGTTCATATGGGACTAACATGTCACTAATATATTTTGGTGCGAGGCCATGGAGAGACTTGTACACAAGCAGAGCTGTTTTAAAGTCTATTCTCTGAGCCACAGGAAGCCAGTGCAGAGACCTGAGGACTGGACTAATGTGGTCGTACTTCCTGGTTCTTGTCAGGACTCGAGCTGCTGCATTTTGAATGTACTGCAGCTGTTTTACAGCCTGTTTGGAGAGACCTGTGAGCAGGCCATTGCAGTAGTCTAACCTACTGGAGACAAATGCATGGATAAGAATCTCCAAGTCTGCTTTAGACACTATGTTTTTGATCCTGGCAATGTTTTTTAGATGGTAAAAAGCTGCTGATGTTACTGATTTGATGTGGCTATTAAAATTTAAGTCTGAGTCCAGTATTACCCCTAGATTTCTGACCTTGTTTGAAGGTTTTAGGGAGAGAGACTGTAGGTGACAGATGACGCTCTCTCTTTGTTTCTGGGGACCAAAGACAATCATTTCAGTTTTGTCTGTGTTTAGCTGAAGGAAGTTGTTTTGCATCCACTCACTGATCTGTTGGATACAGTGAAGGAGTGAGTCCACTGGTCCATGTTCTCCTGCAGTCAGTGAGACATAGATCTGAGTGTCGTCTGCATAGTTATGATAGGAAACTTCCTATGATAGGATAGGCTCCGTGTTATGAGAGCGTAGGGGAAATGAGAAGCCTGTGAGCGAGTTGGGGGGCGGTGCTAAACATTCAAACATTGAAGAAACGGGTATAGCGCCTTTAAACTAAACTTTACACGAAACTTTGACTCTTAAAACCCACATGTGACAACGCGGAACCATCAACATCTCGCCTCAAATTGCATTAAAAGTGACATTCGTGACTTAATTCGCTCGTATTTGAACTTTTAAAGCAATTCCCGGACTTTGCGTCGGCCATTTTGGTTTGCTTCGGCTGCCGTGAGACGCGCATGTGCGGATTTGCATCACAGCATTCATTACATCAGTGTCTCCCAAAGTGGGGTCCGCGGCCCCCTGGTGGGCCGCGAGGGTACTGCAGGGGGGCCGCGGGAGGTCATAAAAAAAATAAAAATAAAATATAATTATTTAATGTTAAATTTATAATGTTTTGTTTATAATATTAAAATATTTGTGTTCATTATTTGACTTGAATAATCCACTGTAATCATTTTTGTATTACAATGTTTGTAGCAGAGGCTATTTCCCCAAAATAAAATAACCAGAAGAGCCTATTCTTAATGTTGTCTTCTTGGTTATTATTTTGGGGGGGCCACGCAGACCCGTCAGATTTTTAAGGGGGCCTCGGTGTTACTGAGTTTGGGAATGGCTGCATTACATCATCAACAGGGGCGGCACGGTGGCTGAGTGGATAGCACTCTCGCCTCTCAGCAAGAAGGTCCTGGGTTCGAATCCCGGTCGGACCAGGGCCTTTCTGAGTGGAGTTTGCATGTTCTCCCCGTGTCTGCGTAGGTTTCCTCCGGGTACTCCGGTTTCCCCTACCACTAAAAATATGTCCAATAGTTCTAGCATGCGCCTCCTGTACTGGCGACCGCGCTCCCATCTCTGTGTGGAGTGAGAGACAAATGCCCAAAAATTAACAATTGTAAACCGCTTTGAGACTCAGATCTGCAGTGAAAAGGCGGTATATAAATAAATACTTACTACTACTTACTTACTACTACTCAACAGCTGGGCGTCACAACTCTGCAAGCGGCA